TCCAGTACTAACCTGTGAAGTTGGCGCCTTGATGCAGGTACCTCGAAGATGGAGCTCTATGGCGCCACAGGTAAGTCTCGCTGGACTCCGCCAGCCATCTCTCCCAACTCGCCCAGCGCTGAAGACTACTGCTATTGCTACTAGCGCCCAGCGCTGAAGACTACTGCTAGCGCTAAGCTACTCCCTGCAGCGCTCCTCCTGAGTGCTGTGCTGAATCCTGAAGACTACTCGTGCCTACTGTCCAACTACCTACCCGTGAAGTGCATGGGAACTTCCTATGTACTACTCGGGTGCCTCCTGACTGCAGGGTGAGGCAGTCCACGAGGCTGCTCTTGCCAATGCCGAAGGGAGTCAGGGGCTGCCGCTGCAGCTCCTGCTTGAGGCTGTCGTGGGGAATAGGCTAGAAATAGCCTGTTCTCGAAACCCTGTTTTTGTGCCTGAGTCTTAGGGTAGGTCGATCTTATGAGGGCCCGAAAGTGGCCCTCCGTTTCAGGCTGAAAAGCCTCAGGGATGAAAAGCCCTGTTTTAGGCTGAAAACGAAATAGGGCATGCAGGTCCTCGTTTCAGTCTTTCAGGCTGAAACGACAGGGGGCCTGTAAGCCCTTATTTCTAGGTTTTTAGGCTGAGAATGCGGGACGGGCCCTGCAGGCCCGTGTGGCTACGCAGTATGCCACACCCCCCCTTCCTTGAAAGACCGAGCTTACCTGCGAGGGCGAAGCTGTCTGTCTGAGGGAGGGACCACAGTCCGGGTGGGAGGGGCAGGTTTGCGAAGCTTCCTTAGCTGGTCTTCGTCGCTCGTAGTCGTCGTAGATCAGCGGTGCAGATGCTTGCAAATCTGCGAACTTGGTGTCCAAAATGTCGAAGGACACGACCTCGCTTACATGCGGGGCGAAGTACACGAGGACGGGGTCAAATACACCGGTCGATTGACTTGTGCGTGTGACTTTCAGCCAATGTGACTTGCGTGGGCTGCGACTTCCTCCGAACGCGTGGCCCCAAGCCATTGCGTACCAGAAAATCGTGGCCCATTCAGTTGCAAGTGCTTCCGCAATTGATCAAAGCGTTGCAGGTCGCCTCTCCGATCTGAATGTGTATGTACAACAATGATGCGTCGATGTCGTCGTACCATTGTGTCTTGAACTCGCGGTCGATCTTCGCAACGTAGTCGTGAAGGTCGACAACCTCTACTCCGGCGTCCATCAACGGAGCTGGTACTGCAGTGTGCAAGTAATCGCGCAATTGTGCCTTGAACATGTTGCAATGCGGTTTCGGCAATCGACCGGTCGGGGAACGGGCATCCATTGGAAGTCCGCGAACGTTAATGGGTCGAGCTCTTCAAGTCTTGACCATGACGTCGAATCCCCGACGATAGATGGCGGCGAAGATGCCGAATCGGTTGCCGGTGGTGGTGAAACCGTGCATGTGGTGGATTGTTGCACGTGGTGTGATTGGTCCAATGGTGGGACCAAGTGGACAGCGTAATCCTCTTAAGATTACCGAGGACTTGCGACATGCGCCTCCTCCCCAGATGTGTAGGGAGGCCGCTAGCAAGGCGGCCAAATCTGGCGGAGTGAGAGGTGGAGTCGCCTCACCTCCCGCGCAGCTCAGTTTCCCGAGCTGTGGTACTGGCTGTCCATTTCCGGCCGGCGATGCGGTTTTCGCCTTCCCTTTTCTCGGGAGTTGTTGTTGCTTCGCGGCTGGACGGCGGCCACCTGATCTTCTTCACGTGATGCTTGGGTGGCTGTCGGGTCTTCCACAATGGTGTCCGGTTGGACTTCAGCGACATGCTGCGGACGCGGACCAAATTTTCCTTCTCCACATGGGCTGGCTGCCACGCTGTCTTCTCGTGTGCAACAGCCCAGTTGGTCTTGATGATCTCTCAGATGATTCGAAATGCCGGAACTTGAGCTTTTCGATGCTAGTGGCTTCATGCCGCTGTAGCAGATCCTGGGCTTCCTTGCGGCGTGCCTGGGTATCTGCGTCTACTTCGGCCTGAAGCCGCTGCTTTTCAGCTGCTGCCTCTGCTTCAGCCTGTAGCCGGGCAGCCTCGGCTGCCGCCTGACGCTGTTCCTCAGCCTTGATCAATACGAGCTGAGCTTGGAACCGCTGTCGGTACTCGGTAATGGACTCATTTGCCAATTGGCCTGGCATGCCCAGAACTGAGCACGTCATGGTGGCGGGGCACTGCTGACGTGCACTGTGGCACTGCTGACGTGGCACTGCTGACGTGGCACTGCTGACGTGGCACTGTTGCTGATGTGGCACTGTGACTGACGTGGCACTGCTGACGTGGCACTGTTGATGTGCACTGCTGACGTGGCACTGTTGCTGACGTGGCACTGTACCAGCTCGGAAATGCAGGCAAGGGCTGGGTGGGAGGGAAAATGCAGGTAGGGAACCAACCCAACAATACTTTCCTCCCGGCCCTAATCAACAGATAAAAAA